CCCCCCACCCCGCAGTGTGTTTCTTTTTTCCAGTGTAGCAAAAGTAACTCAAATTTCTCTCCCCTAACACTGGCATCCCTTTAAAGTTATCTTTCAAAGGGCAGTGATCCCTTGATATGAGTTTTGTAGCTCATATACCTATATCTACACAAACACACACACACAAATGAAATAGCAGCCGCAGCAGCTGTGCAGGACTTCCTAGACCGACTCTGGCTCCAGGATCAGGTGCAGCTGCCCCAGTGCTGCCGTGAGTGCTTTTTCCTTGGGTGGGTGCTATTTTCTTAAATGGCTCCCCTTGCAAAGAAAGGGACGTATGAGTCTGGCGGGGGGTGGGGGTGGGGGGGACAGCAACCCACAGTTTTGCTGGTTAAACTTTGCAGCTGGGGGAAAAATACCGGGAAGGCTCCTTAGCAGGGTGCTTGTGCCGCTGCAGGCCGCCCGTTCAGATGGGACGGCGCAGACAGGGAGTCTGCTCTGCTCAGGCATCCACAGAGGGATGCAAGGAGCCAGGGGCCCTGGGTGCTCTTCCCCATGCCTTCCGACAGTGGGGCAGCCTGAAGCACAAGGACCCCCGGAGAATGGCCCAGGTGGGCTGCAGCAAAGAGCCCTGCACCAGCCTTGTCCCCCATCCCGCCAGGACCAGCGTCCGGTGTCACTGCCCGCCTCAGCCCCCCTTTCGCCCTGCTAGGAAGCACCCAGCACCTGGACAGCCAGCTGGGCACGGCACATGAGCGGAAGGCTGGTGCCAGGAGCTCTCGACAACCATCAATCTGGCTGCTAAAGCTGCCTGAGGGAGCAGCCGGCAGCCCGGTTGGATCCTGCCATCCTGCTTCAGCAATGTGCACTCTGAAGGCAGCGGGGGGAGCTGGGGGAGGCTTCCATCCGGCTTGCAGCAGGCCCAGAATCCATCCCCCTCAGAGCTGCACCGAGGCCGGCTCTTCAGCCCCATCCGCTGGGACTCTGCCACATTTCATGGTTTCTTACACGCAGACGTGTCTCTCTAGACATCCTCTTCTCTCCTCCAGGTTCAGCTCCAGTGGCCCACTCTGGGCGAGGGGCTGCCCTGAAAGAGGGGCCCTCCGCAGGAGGCAGCTGTGCGGCTCTTGCAGCCGGTGGCCCGGCCAGGGGCTGCCTTGGACCTTTGCGTCCGGCACGGGTTGGGGGCAGCATGCTCGGGAGCTGCGGCAGGCACTGAGCCCATCTGGCACTCCACTCCATTTCAGGGGTTCTCCCCGCTGCCCATGGCAGGGCAGGATCAGGCACGGGCTAGGCTGGTTTCCTCCCAGAGGCCGCCCTGGTTGCCTCCGCTCTCCCAGGGGTTCATCTGGAATAAGATGGAGAGCCAGTGTGGCATAGTGGGACTGGGACTCGGGCGATCCGGGTTCGAGTCCCCGCTCAGCCATGGAGCCGACTGGGTGACTTTGGGCCAGTCACAGACTCTCAGCCCAACCTACCTCACAGGGTTGTTGTTGTGGAGATAAGATGGAGGAGGAGAATGATGTAAGCTGCCTTGGGCCCTTTGTAGGAAAAAGGCAGGATAGAAATCAGAAAAAAAAAAAAAAAGATGGCCATCGCTCGGAAGCGTTTCCAGGCGTGTGCACGGCTTCGGAGGAAGGGCGTCTCGCATTTGTAGCATGGATTCTTGGAGGACCTTCTTCGCTGGGTAAACACGTTGCTCAAAAGGCATTAATATGACATTCACGCAGCTCTAATAAAGTACATAAACACAGAGATCTGGCACTGCAGAAATGCACAGAGGAGGTGAAGTATAAGACTTAAAACTATGACTATTGGAAACAAGATATTTTTGTGTCTCATTTGGGAGCGATATAATTGCATTGCGAGGCTCTAGCAGATGTGTGGCCAGCTGGCTGGGAAAGTGGAGGGTCCCCTCCTTGCACCCATCCCCCATTTAGCTCAACTCCATACTGATAAAGCTTGTCCAATAAAAACCCACTTTTCCAGCAAACCTGTTCGTGCATTGCAGGCATCTCGAGGCTGAGGGTTTCTGCAAGTACGCCAAAGGATTCCGTATTACTAGGCCGTCACACGCACGGGTCTGTGTTGGGATGGTTATAGCCTGATAACAATTGCCTCTGTTTTTCTTCTCCTCTTTGGACAGTACTAGTGGATGGACATACTTGACTGTAGTTCCTCGGCTAGTTCCTCGTGCCATTCTGTCCCACCTGCTGCCCTTACTAAGCCTCGGAGCAAGCTGGTGCCTGAGCTTCTAGCCACTGTTTAAAAACCAGATTCCATTGTTGCACACATGAGTACCTGTTTATCATATAATCAAGTTCCCTGTTTCCCATTCCTGTTCAGGACAGGTGCCCCAGCACCTGAGTTATGCAAATGAAACGGGCTTTCTTGATTTTGCTTGCTCCTGAAAGCAGATGAATTTTATAAAATGTGATGCTACCGAGCAAGCGGTCCTCTCCTTTCCAAAGATCTTACTGTTTTCTCAAGGCCATCTCCGATTGAATGGCTCCTGAAGTCCTTTCCAGTGGGCGCAAGGGCTTTGGAGGGCCAGTCCAGCGCCTCCTGTCAGTCCAGGCTAATAATCGGCTGAGAGCCTCCCTGGACAGCCAGAGCCTCGCAGCAGTGACCGCGTGCCTGGATGGCTGCCATGCTGCCTGCCTGGGCTGCCTCGGAAGCGCTGCTTGGCCCAGAATGGGGCAGCCGGGCTGCTGGCGGGGCCTGGCCAGCACAAGCACAGCTCGCCAGTCCTCCTCTGACTCCACTGGTCACCAGCTGAAGTCTGGGCCCAAGTCACAGCTCTCACATTAACATTTAAAGCTCTAAAGGGCTTGGGGCAGGTTATCTATAGGAACACCTCTTCCCTTATACGCCTACCCGGACCGTGAGGTCACCAACTGAGACCCTTCTCAGAGAGCCACCCTTAAAGGAAATAAAGAGGGTGGCTACGAGGTGAAGGGCCTTTTCAGCAGTGGCACCTCAATTATGAGATCAGCTTCTCAAGGAGGTGCACCAGGCGCCTGCTCTTTATCCCTTCTGGCGCCAGGTAAAAACCTTTTTATTCACCCAATATTTTAATAGTGAATAATTTTAATTCTTTTAAAAAGCATTTCTTCTTTGTTACTGTATTTTCGTACTGTGCTACCTTGGCTTAATTGCTGCTGTGGGTTAATTGTGGGTGCACTCCTGCTATTTTTGCATTGTTCTTGTATTGAGGTATTATTTTTTTTCTTTGTGCACTTTATGTAAACCACCATGAGAATCATCTTGACTAACAGGTGGTATAGAAATTAAATACATTTTTATCGTACTTGCTATTATGTCTTCAGAGCCATCCTAGAAAGCGGGGACAAGCAGGCGGGCTGGAGTGGTGGAGCTTTGCAAGCAGCTGAGTCAGCTTATGGCCCGTCCCGTTGGGGGGAACGCAAGCCCATCCGCAGCCGGATGGAACGGGGCGGGAAGGGACCTGCCTCCGTGCCCGGGCAGCACCTGCGACCCTGGCCGCTCTGCCTGCCGCCGCCACTGTATTCGCAGGATCGGTCCCTGGCCTGCTGGGGCTCCCGGTCTTCTGGCGAGGGCCAGCCGGGAGTCCTGGGGGAGCAGCCCCATAAGCACCAGCTCCCCCCTCCAGAGCCGGCCCCAGCGGCGTGGTCCTCCCGTTTGCCGCAGCGCGCACCCCGGCCCTCACGGAGGTGCCTGCCTCGCCACGTGCCTCAGCAGCACACCTGTGCCTGCGTCCCGCCAGCCCCCTCCGCTCTTGGCTCCTGCCCGTGGCTCCAGCCGCTCCGCGTTGCCTCGCTGTTGTGCCCGCCTGGTGCCTGCCCCACACCCTGCCTCTCCGTGTGGCCGCAGCAGTGCAGGTTTGCCTGCGGGCCGTGGGCCAGCTCCCGCCTCTTCGCTGGGCAAGCCGCTGCCGGTTCCTGCGGTCTCGTGTCTCCTGCCACGCCGTGTCTCCCTCCCTGTGGCTAAGTCTCAGCAGGGTCGCCTTGTCAAATACGAAACCCCAGGGGTGAGACCTCTTCCAGTTTGAGGGACAAACTTAATTTCAGGGATGATCGGATGAGGGATGAGCCGGCAGGGGGGAATCCTGGTATAAAATCATGGAAGAGTAGCGTTGGAAGGGGCCAGAGGGACGTCGGGTCCAACACCCCGCTCAGTGCAGGACTCCTCTCAGCCAGACCGTCCCGCTCAGGTGGCTGTCCAGCTGCATCTCGCATGCCTCCCGTGCGGGAAAGCGAATCCGATTGGCAGGATTTGTTGTTGTTGAGGAATCCATGTTGGCTTCCAGGGATTGTTGCATTGCTTTCAATGTGTTTGCAGAGCGTCTGCTTTCTAATCTGCTCCAAAAATTTCCCAGAGACTGATGTCAGACTGACTGGTCGGTAGTTACCAGGTTCTTCTTCTATTCCTTTCTTGAGGGTGAGGATAACATTAGCCCTTCTCCAGTCATCTGGCACTTCCCCTGTCCTCCATGATTTCTCAAAGACAATAGTCTTACTTAAAACTCATTATACCAGCAAGAAGCCTCAGGAGAAGCTTTTCAACCTCTTAGAACAGGGAACAGTCGCAAAAGAGCTGAGAAGCCACCAAGTCGGGGCAAAGGGAGTCAGGCAAGGGGAAGGCCGTGGCTCTTTGAGTAACCCTGCAGAGCCTGGCCGAAGCCCAGGTGGGCCTTAACTTTGGCGCCCCGCCTGAAACAGCCGCTTGCTGCGGAACTGCCTCTGTGGCCACCAGTGGCCAGGGAGGATCGCAGGAACTGCTGCTGCAGCCGGAGGCTTCCCTTGCAGCTGGTGGGGGTGTGCGAGGGGTGCCCATCTGGAAAGTCGGCACCTCGCCCTGCAGAGTAAATTTGACTCTGTTTCGGCCATCAGAGCAGCCTCTTGTCCAATACTGGTGGTAGACGTAGTAACCAGATAAAAATGAACTTACCATTTGGGTGTCCTAACAGAGACTCTTTCTGTGGTGTGAAAGTTTAAGCCATGGGTCCTCAAACTACGGCCGGGGGCCGGATCCAGCCCATTATGCCCATTTATCCGGCCCGCCAAGCCCATCTGGACCCGCCGCACACCCACGCGTGGGAGGCAGTGGTTTGCTCGCGCGGAGAAAATGATCTTCAGGTGAGCCTCGTGTGCCCGCCTCACGGTGCCCGCCTGCCCCCGCCTGCGCCTCGTCTCCCCTCGCCGCCCCAGCCCACACGCACCGCCGGCTCCACCTTTCTGGTGCGCGCCCGGCACCGGCGGATTTCAACTGGCCCCCTGGTGAAAAAGTTGGAGGAACCTGGTTTAAGCTTTGCTTATTTTCCATGTCTGGCTTGGGTGAAGGATTAGATGTGGCTAAAGGGTTGCCATGTTTGGGGGCTTCTCTCTCCTCTGCACCAAGGCAACCTAGCGAGGGCTTGTTTTGCGGGTTCCCCCATGCATTTGTCTGTTGCTTCAGCGAAGCAGGGCTGTTCCCCTGCATTTTGACACATTCATGTTGGAAGAAAGTTACCACATTGCTAGAAAGGAAAGGCTCTCTTCTATAACGCTTCTTTTATTTCCAGTCCCATTACAATTCCCTGAGGGACCAAGAAAGCTGTTTAAAAAGGTTATAATTCCATAACTTCTCAGCTCATTGAGTAAAACTGACATTACCCACTAAAGGAGCAGCCCCTCCACAAGTTCAGGTGGAAGACAGGCCTGCACAGGCTGCCCGACGTCGGCCTCTGTCCCGCCTGGCTTGCGTGGGGCTAGCGCCGCAGTCAGCTGAAGTTTCAGTGAGTTCCCCCACTTGCTGACGCCTGGAGCCTCCCTGCAGGAGGAGCGCGTCTCATCATAGCTTTTGTGGCACTTGCAGCTTTCTTCTGATTCCAAGTTCTCACCTTGTCAATTCTGTGCAGGCCTGGATGGCTGCGAGTCCCACGGAGAAGTGCAGACGATCGTGAGCCCGGTCAACCCTGGCCTGGGTCAGGGCGAGGCAGCGGCCGGGCACGAGGGGCAGCTCGCAGCTCGCCGTGGGTGGCCTGCTCCAGCCTCCCTCCTGGTGGGCTCCTTGCACTTCCCTCTGTGGCCAGAGCTGGCTGGAGGCCAAATAAGAGAGGCTCTCCCCCGGGTGTCCCCGGGACAATTCCACCCGCTCCTTCCGGACGCCTTCCGCGGCTCCCTGCCCTGCTCATCCACACAGCGTCGAGCACAGGCATCCGCTGGAAAAACAGCTGGGAGCAGCAGGCGGGACGGGCCGCTTTGCCCGCAGCACCCCATTCTGCACGGAGCGGGCCGTGCTGCTCCCGCGGGGCCCTCCTGCAGCCTCCGGCCCGGACAGCTGCCAGCCTGAGCTCCCGCGCTTGTCCTGATCAAGGAAGACTTTGTTTAAAAGAATGATCCTTTGAACTACAATTTTTTAACGATCTTGTTTCTTTTCTTCTTTCAGGAAATTGCTGCCTATCTAATAACATTTGAGAAACACGAGGAATGGCTAACCACCTCCCCTAAAACCAGGTAAGGTGCCAAGAGCTCTCCCCATGAAAATGCCCATCGATTAATTTTCCTCCTGATTTTACTGGACTTGCTAAATCAATGCACCGTTCACCAAGCGGGTGCGACGGGATGGGGGGGGGCAGGTTGGGAGAGCACCAGGAGCCCAACAAGTCATGCTTGATAGCTTGTGACACCAAAGTCTCATTAATTGACTTAATGAGTATTTTATTGAATGAAATCAGATTGATTAAAACCTGGCCATCTGCAGTCCTGACAGATGTGGGAGAAGCGGATTGAACTCAATGGCGTAATGTTTAATTATATCCGTGCGGAGGGATGGGTTTGGAAGGCTCCGGCGAGTGAAGGGGTGTTGTCTCTCCATCTCAGTGGTGCTTCCAGTTGTCACAAGCTCTCTGGACCAGGCATGAAAGGAAAACACAACTGATGGAAAACCGGTGCTGTCGCTCTGAGGTGCATCCTCTGTGGAGCGCTGTGAGAGGTGCTTGTGAGGATGAGGGGCTCGCCTCCACTGCCGCCTGCCTCTTGTCCAAGACTGGAGGGTTCCTGGTCCAGGTTTTATGCAGCAGTTGTCAGACGGCTTTCCCAACTGTCCCGACTGCCGAACTGTCTCTGCCTCTGGGGCTTGCTTGCAGCGAGCGGTTGGCAGCATTTCTGCAGGCGCTTTCTTGCTGAGGGAAATGCAGACATGTGAAGAAGTGTGGAAAATTTAGATGGTCATTTTCTTCAAAAGCAGTGATTTTCCTTGGAAGCACTGAAAGTTCTTGTTTGCTCTTTGCTCAACGGTTACTAATTTTAGTGTTGAGTCTTCCTCCAAAGGGCAGATACAGGTGGCTCATTGGAAAAGTTTTTAAACAGCGAGTGTGTGTTGTGGGGACATGGCACTCCCCCATTCTTTTAACTCTGTTCGGTAATGGGAATTGGAATTAATATTTGGAAATATTTGACATTTAGAAAATTTGCCATTCGAAACTTGGACTTTGAATTTTTAATGCGCCTTCTTTATTGCTGAATGTGAGTGCTCTGCGACCTGTGTGTATTAAGCAGAATACATTCCATTGGTATTGAGTGGGTGTTACTCTCTGGCAAGGATTTGACAGGATTGTTGCCTGAGACTTACTGAGCCGAGGGTCAGGCTAAATGATCTCTAAGGTCCCTTCCAGGAATATAATTCTCGGCAGATGTGACATCCGCAAACTGCCACTGGGATATTGCTGCGTGCCCTCTGCCGAGTGGAGTCAAACATTCTTGAATACTTGTAAATAAATACTACAATTGGCTCACTTACACTTTAAAATAGCCAGTTAATATTTGGGCAATACTCATTCAGATAACATTTGGTGCATATTCAAGATCAGGATTTGCAGGGGATTTTTAAAAAATAGGTTTCCAGGAACAAATTAATTTCGGCTCTAATTAATTCAACATGAATGAGAATTGGCTGAGTAGAATCCAAGCATTTCCCTCATCAGGGAGTAGAACCTTTTTGTGCCGTTTCTCTATTTTCTTCTTTACAAACCCAGAAAAAAAATCTGGCAGGAGGTGGGGGCAAAGCAAAATTTACAACCATGGTTTTTGCATCTTTGAAGCTTCCTGCTTGAAGCTATTGGACTCAGGGGGTCTGGACCTGGCACACTCAGCCCAATTAAGCACAACGAGTAGTAGAAAAACTGTATTTTATTCCCGAAAATAAAATTTGGTCACAGTGAAGTGGCAATCAACCTCAAGCGCATGGTGGAGTCCCCTTTAATACCACTGATGACCAGGGGGCAGTGAGTAGAAATTCCCACTGCAATAACTGATTGGCACATTGAAATACAGGTGGTTCGTGTGCTTCCCTGGGAGGCTGGACTACCTGGAGGCTGCTGAGCTAGGAGCCTTTGGCAGGGGATCGCTCAGTCTCTGGCCACATGCAATGTTTCATTTTACTAGGACGATGCTTGGGACATGACAAGCCTGCTCAGGCTGAATGCCGGCCAGCTGGCCAGGTGAGTCCTACAAAGCCAAATTCTGAAGCAGCTGAAAGGCTGGGAGCAGGCCTCTGTGAATTCCCCAAACAGGATCCTTTGCCAAGGCATTGTCTTGGTGATGTGAGAGCTCTTTCATCAGGTTGGATTTTTGTAGAGGGCCAAAAGGCATTGCCAAATTTGGGAAATGGAGTGGAGAAGATTCCAGCTCACTACCAGAATGCTCTCCCTTTTCTTTCTCCATCCAGATGGGAAAACCCTGCAAGCTGCCTTTCTTTTTAATGGTTTGGCATCAGATTGCTCCCAAATTAATTAATGAGTGGGGGAAGAATTCCTGGCAAAATGCAGGAATGGTCATTGACCATAACAAATTGCGCACAAACCTGGAGTTTAGCAGCTCACAGAGGAGGGGCGGGCTGAGATGAGTCGGAGCACAAGCAGCGCCGTTTCTCTTTCTCAAGCTTCCCTAGGAATGCCAACGCTTCCCCCTTCCAGCAGCGGAAACTGCCTCGTGGGCCATTTACTTCGGATGCCCTGGGTTTTTATATAGGGTCATAGCCCAGACATGGGTTTATGGCCCACTGTATTTCATAAGAAGGCTGATGTGGGGTGATCGCACCCCACCGCCATCGGTGCGGGATGGCAGTGGCGGGAGGGTGCCCCCCTGCTCCCACTCGCTGCTGGCTGGTGCTCGCTGCCGCCCCACTGGCCACTGGCCCCTTCGAGCCTGGCAACCATCATGTGGAGCCATCCGAAGCAGCCTTTTCGGGCAGGTTTCATTTGCACAGCTGACAGTGTTAATGAATTGCTTCTATTAAAGGGCTTTAGAAATGATGCAAAGAGGACAAGATTAGCTTCCTGGAAATGCTTGTTGAAAAAGCTGTATTTTTAGGAGTCAGAACTCTAGAAAGATCAATGCCTGGCTAAAGCTGCAGTGCTGGGATGTTCTAGAGTGAAGGGCTTCTGGTATGAAGGCTCTCTTTGCAGCCATGGTGGGCCCAGCCTCTGAAATCTGAGCTTCCCCTGGGAGGGCAGGAGATTGGGTGGCCTCTGAAGAACCCTGATCTGCTGTGGCTCGGGGTTCTGCACACTAGGCCTGGCCACATGTGGGCAGCCCGGGCAGCTCTCCCAGCGAAGGTTTCCTGGGGGGTCCGCCTGTGCTTGACTGGCAGAAGCTCTGCAAGGGTGTGGGCAGAGAGAGCTACTCCCAGTCCAGCTGCTGGAGATTCCCCACTTTGGGATTCTGAGGCAGACCTGTGAACAGGGCTGGTCTTCTCTCCCGGAGCTCTGTGGCCGCCTGGCAGAAGGTGCACACTCAGCACATGCCCCCCCCCCCCCCCCCCCCCCCCACCCCCACGGGAAAAGGGGGACCCCCCCCACCCCCCCCCCCCCCCCCCCGCTGCTTGCAAACAGCAAGTGAGAAGGGGCCTCCCAGGCCATCTAGTCTGGCCACTGGCTGCAGCTGGCTCCGCTCATGACAGGCCCTCCATGTGCGCGTCCAGCCTATCCTTGACCACCTGCACCGATGGGGCTTCAACCACCTCCCGGGGAAGTCCATTCCATACCCTGGGGGTCCAAACTGTCAGGAAGTACTTCCTGGCATACACCCTAAATCTTGGTTCCCTGAGCTTTGCTCCATTGGAACGTGTCGTGCCCTCCATCCGAGTGGAAAAAGGGTCACAACCAACCTCTGTGTGGCACCCCCTCACGTACCTGTATGACACTAACAGGTCCCCTCTGAGTCTCCTCCTCTCAAGGCTGAAAAGACCCAGCTCCCTCAGTCTCTCCTCATATGGTTTACCCTGCAAACCAGCCACCGTCCTAGTGGCCCTTCACTGCAATGATTCCAACCTTGGTATATCCCTCTTGTAATGAGGGGCCCAGAACTGAACACAAGACTCCAGCTGCGGGTGCACCAGTGTTGTGTAGAGTTGCAGTAATACTTCTCTGAATCTAGAAGCCACACTTCTGGCTATGCAACCCAGGGTGGCGTTTGCCCTCTTGGTCACCGCATCGCACTGCTGGCTCATGTTCAGCCTGCAATCAACCAGCACCCCGAGGTCCCTTTCACAAGGGCTGCTCTCCAGCCACTTGTCCCCTAACCTGTACTTATGACACCCATTCCGATGCCCCAAGTGCAAGACCGAGCACTTATCCACATTGAACGCTAGCCTGTTGTCTCCTGCCCACTTCCATAGTCTGTCCAGATCCTTTTGGATCTGGAGTACCTGCTCCCCAGTTGTGGCCACTGCTCCAGTTTTAGTATCATCTGCGAATTTGATCAGCAGACTGTTCACCCCTTCTTCCATGTCATTGATGAAAAGATTGAACAGGATCAGCCCCAGGACAGAGCCCTGGGGGACCCCACTCATCGACGACCACCATCCTGATGGTTCTCCACTAATAGTTACCCTCTGTAGACAGGGCTAAGAAAGACCCTTGCTGAAAACTCTGGTTTATCTAGGCCTACTCTGCCTCTGCAGAAGGAGGCTTCTGGATACCCTTCCTTCGTGATACAATCCTGCATTAATTTATGGAATTCACTGTTCTCAGATGTATTGATGGCCCATTACCTTGAATGGCTTGAGCAGGATCAAGTAGCTCTGGGACACGAGGCACGATCAGGGCGATCAGGGTTTATTGTGGAACATCCGTGGTCTGACAGCAAGATGTGGCTCTCTTGAACCTTTCAGTGACTCCCCACCAGGGAAACATGAAGCAGAAATGGAATGAACACTTAAGTTACTTTTATTTGTACACTGATATCGTGCCTTTTCCTCCAAGGAGCTCAAGGTGCCTCATGCCTCCCTCCTCATTCCACTTGAGCCTCCCAACATGCCTGGGGGGTAAGCTCAGCTGAGAGCTATTGACTGGCCCCGCATCACCCAGCGAGTGAGAACCGGCCCTCCCCACTCTCAGCCCAAGCCCTCCAGTCACTGCACTGCACCGGCTCCAAAATGGTCTGGACGCCTATGGCGCCAGATGCTTTCCACCTGAGGTCTGAGGGTTGTCTTCTTCTCATTGAATGGAAGGTGC